AAAAAATGCAAAGAGGCTAGTGTTTCCTTTTTATATATGCATTGAGAATTCTTCCCACTCAAAAAAATAATCATCTAGCTTAAGAATGAACTTAATATTAACATACAGAATACAATGGAATATCAGCTGTTGAAATAATTTACTGAGAAGACTAATGTACATCTGACAGCTGGAGCCAGATTAGGTGACTAGAAGTCTGTTCTAGGAAAGACCACTCACATTTACACCATCTTGAGAGCATACATGAAGAAGTTTTGGATTCACCGTAGGAATATTTTAAACAGAGTTATCAGCATTTTCACATTATTGCAATGCCATCTAGAAATCTGGATATGGAAAGTTTGCTTCTTTTTCATGTGAAAACACTCAGGTATTAGAGAGGCCAAGTGGGGAAAGAAGACCATTTTAAAGACATCCTTAATGTTAGTAAGCCCTCATCCTTTAAGTGCACATTTGATTTCTGGAAATATATAAAAGTCACCTGGTGTTAAACTTGTGAATGAGGGACAAAGGCAGCACAGATCTAGTTGAATCATGTCTGACATTGTAAAAAAGCAACAAGTAAGCAGTTTGTGTTTTTGTTATGGCTAAGTTCATGGCCAGATCTATCCAAAGATAACTTAAAAGAAAATATTTTAAGCTACACTAAACAAAAGCAGCAGCACTGTTTAGAGTAAGTCCCAAACCTCAGAGGTTATAACACATAATTTGGAATTGTGTTGCTGCTTTTCAAAATAGTTGAGGATTTTCTCATCATCTTTTAATTACTGTTTTCTAGCTTAATTCCACTGTGGTCAGAGAACATACTCTAAGTGACTTCAATTCTTTAAAATTTGTTGTAGTGTCCTTTATGGCCTAATATATGGTCAGTTTCAATAAACGTGCCACGTGGCCTTGAAAAGAGCGTATACTCTGTTGTCTTCACATGGAGTGTTCTGCGTATGATCAGGTAGGGTAGATATGTTAGTTGTGTTGTTCAGATCGTCTATATCCTTACTGATACTACTTTCCGCTTCATCCTATCAATTACCGAAAGGTATATTAAATCTCCTGCTGCGATTATAGATAAGCCAATCTCCCTTTCTAGTTCAATTTTTGATTTGTATTATTTGAAGTTATGTTATTACCTGAATACAAATTTAGAGTTGTTACGGCTTCCTGATGGAAGCCTTATCATTTTAACGTACTTCTTTGTGTTAGTCTGAGTCCAATCAGTGGATTAAACAGTGGCAGCTTAATAAAATTAATCGACTTAATAAAGAATTTTCACACTCTGATAGGAATGACTATAAGATGTAAGGAAACGATCCAGTTTCCTAGGGCTGGCAGAGTACCCAAGAAAAGACAAACTTAAAAGGCATTTAGACTTCACTGAAAAAAGAGCAGTTCAGCCTTTTGGATAGCAGAGAGCTCATGGGTTTGCCCAGGCTGGAGCTGGTCTGTGAGAAGGAACCAACCTTCTGGAGCACGGTCCAGTTGGGAGATCAGCAACTGTGTGTGTGTGGCTGTGGGGAGGGAGGGGGACCTAGATAGAAACCCTCCGCTGGAAGCAAACTTTATTTTTTCTCATATTGTGGTCTTCTGTCACATTTGAGATAGGCTGTTTTAAGTATCTGGTTTTATTTTTTTTTTAATTGTTTTAAATTTCAGGTTATTGTGAGGAGGGTACAAGCAACTAGGTCAAAATATTTGAATTTGTTAGGTTGAGTCCCTCTTATAGTTGTGTCCCTAATTATCTGGTTTTACATAGGAAAGAAAAAATATTAAGTCTGCAATGGTCAATGACTTACAATTCATTAAAACTTTTCATACAAGGAACAAAAAAGAAAAGAATGAAAACTTCTAGGCCATAGACCTGCCTGGTGACCTACAAAGGGAGCTGAGATTTGAGTGGGAGGCCTTCCTGGTTCCAGTTTGCATATCAAGAGGTCACAGAAAGGTTATCTCCTCAGGCCAGGCCAAGGCTCAAAGTCACCAGCAGACCACGTGTTCTGGGCTCATAGCTGGGTAGAGCTCTGCCAACTGTTGTCATGGTCATGGGGCCGCCAGAAGCAGCTGGAGAGGCCCTTCCTCCTGCAAAGCTCCTCTGGCTCCTCTGGCCTCCTCACAGCTCCACTGTCTACTGACAAAGCCTAATTGATTACCATCATGCTTATCTGAGGAGAAATGCATAAAGTTGCTCTGCCAGTATAGCAAAACATATAGAGAAGGCGAGAAATTGAGAACTGGCACGACCTCATTATCTAAGTAATATCCTTCCCTTCATGTTGACTTTGTCTCATATTCGTACAACTACTCCAGCTTTTGGGTAGTGTGTGCATGGTAAATACTTTTGTCATTCTTTTACTTCTAACTTTTCTCATTCTTTGTGTTTAAGAACAAGTGTGTCTCTTGTAAGCAGCATACGATTGCTTTGTCCTTTAATATTGACACGTTGGCACCAAATTCACTGCCTTACTCTTTTCTTCTTTATAATTGTCCCACTTGCCCAGTGTTTCATTCTCTCCCCTTTCTTGTTTTGGATTGAGTAAAATTTTATTTTCCTATTTTTTCCCCTTCTATTTACTGGTGTGTGCCTGCCCACACACATTATAAATACTATTCTAGTGATGACTCCCATGCTTACACCAGGCCTCCTTGACATCTTATAGGTTATGGTATCAGACTGACTACTGTGGTATGTCATTGCTTATGCTTGCTAGTTTTCAGGTTACCCTTATTTTGCTTAGTAGTGGCCCCAAAGTTCAAGAGTAGTGAGGCTGGCAATTTGGTTATGTCAAAGAGAAGCAGGAAAGTACTTCCCTCAAGTGAAAAGGTTAAAGTTCTCAATTTAATAAAGAAAAAAAATCATGCTTACGTTGCCAAGATTTATGTAAGAACAATTCTTTTACCTGTGAAATTGTAACAAATGAAAAAGAAAGTCATGCTAATTTTGCTGTAGCACCTCAAACTGCTAAAGTTCCTGCCATAGTGCATGACACATGTATGCTTAGTTAAGACGAAAAAGCCATTAACTTTGTGGGTAGACGACGTAAACACGTTCCGATTGGCGGCATGGGGTTTGGTACGTTGCGGTTTCCGATATCCAGTGAGGATCTTGACATATCCCTGATGAATAAAGGGGTACTACTGCAGTTTCTTTTGATTGCTTTCCAGATAGTAACAAGATACTAGAACACTTTAAATCCGTTTATCTTCCTCCCACCTTTGGTGTTATCATTGTTATGCATTTTACTCCTTCACATATTTCAGATGTCACAAAACATTATTCTTAGTAGAGACAACATTCATTTCAGGTACAACCTTGCCGTTGCTCATCATCCCTTTCCACAATTCTGTGAATCTGTCTCAAATAATTTTCCCTTTGCCTGAATAATAATTTAACATTTCTTTTAGTGCTGGTGATAAGTTCTATCATATTTTATCTGGAAATTACTGTCTTGCTTTCATGATTGAAGAATATGTTTGCTCAGTATAGATTTCTAGGTTGGCAATTGTTCTCTCTCACACTTCAACAAGGTCATTACATGGCCTTCCAATGGCCAGCATATTTCTCAGGAATTAATCTCAGTCTTTCTGTTGTTTTTTTGAAGGCAGTGTTTTTTTCTGGTTTCCTTTCCTTTTATTTTGTAGGGTTTTCTTTTTGTCATTTTTAGCCAGGTCACTATGATGTGCCTAGTTGTGGTTTTCTCTGTATTTATTCCATTTCAGGCTTGAAGAGTTTGTTGCATTAGTAGTTTGGTGTCTTTTACTACTGTTGAAAAATTCTTGCTGTTATTTCTTCAAATATTGTTTCTATCCTAGTCTTGCTTTTTTCTCCTTCTAAGAGTACAATTGTACTAGTTTAGGCCTTTTTACCATATTCTATATGTTTCTTCATGTCCCATTTGTTCACTATATTTTATATGTCCTTTCCCTTTTTTTTTTCCATGCTTCAGCCTCTGTATTTTCTACCAATATACTTTTTTAGTATAATAATCCTATCTTTGGTTGAGTCTAATATACTACGTATTCATCTACTTACTTCTTAATTTCAATTATTAAATGTTTAGAGTTATAGAATCTCTATTGTATTCCCTGTATAGATTTAGGTTCTTTGGTTAAATTCTCTATCTTGTCACCTATTTTCTTGAACATATTAATTATGCTTAATACAGAGTTTGTGATTAGTGGGACCATGCCTATGGTTCATCTTACAAGGGTACATGTGAATCTTTCTTTTTTTTTTTTTTTCCAAGCCAAACTGTATCCAGCTTTATTAAAGATACTTTTCATAAACAATCATGGTATTTCAGGCAGGACATGGGCAGACGATCATTAACAGTATACAACAACTTTCAAACTCCCTTCTTCAATGTTCTACCAAAAATCAGAAAGCCACTATAAAACCCAATGAAATCTTCATTTGATGCTCTGAACAGGGAAGTTTAGAGTGAGGGTTGACATTTCACATTTAGCATGTTGTTTAACAACTTTTCACAAGCCGACCCTGACTTTCAGGAAATGAAATGAAAATGGCAGAATTTATCTGAAGATCCAACAATCTACAAATGGAACCGCTGCTCTTTTGAAGGATGCCATCTCAGTGGGTATTAGTGAAAAAGTCCAGATTTCTTAATATACTGGTAACCAATTATTGGGGGTCAGGTCCCAAGAGGTGACTGGGTTT